GAAAGAGGGCTGCATGCTTTTTAGACTGAGGTGCTTTGGGGAAAAAAAGAAAAAGACATGGGGTCCCTTATCTAAATAATGCTGTCTGTCACTCTGAGCCATTTGAACATGTAGTGTAATCTACTGACGGGATACAGGAACACATGGCAGAAATATAATCATACAGAAAAATAAAATAAGTGATTCCAAAAGGAGGACACTTGCAGGCGACATACAATCTAGAGCCGTGATGGTGAAGCTATAGCAAGTGACGAAATGGGTCTGTTTTTCGGCCTCCAAAGGCTGCAGAGGCTTCCCTCAAGCCTCTGGGATGCTGAAAAAGGCCTTAAACGGGCCGAAAATTAGCTGGGAGTTGTGTGCATGCACAGTGCAGGTAAGAGGGTATGGGGGGGGGGGGGATGTTGCAATTTTCAGTATGGGAGCCCAAAAAGGTTAGCCATCACTGATCTGGAGAGTAAGATAGTGGATATGTGTTTGTGTGTGTGTACCTATGTGTGTGTACACACACACATCACTAAGTTTTACAGATCCCTGCCTCTCGGAAAAACATATCAGAGACAAACTGACATGATGCTTCTGCCTTTGAAATGTGAAGGTTGCAAAATTTAAAAAAACATGAATAAATGGGGAGGGGGAGTTAGCTTTCTTTTGACTTTTCTCTCCCATCTGCCAATTTATCTCCGATCTCTTTGTATTTTTTTAAAAAATAATCTTCCACACCCATAAAACAAAACCCTTCTATCCTGTCAAAGCTGGATAAACAGCTGAGTGCATTCCCAGGCAATCTGCATTGGAAAAGACACATCTGTCTTAAAAGCAGAACACGGGGAGAGGCTTAGGAGGGGCCGAGTGCTGCAATGCTTTTTGTTACATAAAGGTCTGCTTGTGGAACATGTATTGGGGAATTTTAGCAGTTTCACTTTGCAATTGCTTTGTATCTTATTTTGGGCTCTGGCAAGATGGTGCTTTTCTCTTTCTCCCTTTGATTAAGAAGATGCAGAAAAGAGGCAAAACAAAACAAAACCCAGAAGTGAATCCTGAATTGAAAAGATACTCAAAATACCATAATGTATGCACCTGCATACAGATGCACAAGGATGCACGTACACACACACACACACACACACACACACACACACGGCAATAGGTAGCTCCGATACATTTTAATGAAGTTGTTAGCCTGCAGAGAGTTTTGGACCTGTCGTGTCAATATTAACCTTCTGATGGAATCTTACACAGCTTTCTCTCCAGAGAATGATAAAATGCTGCAATCTCCAGGGGAAATTGGTAGGAGAATTTACAATAACGTTTAGCTAAGATCAGCTCAAATGAAAATTTGGTGTGAGTTTTCGACCCAGAATGTGAACGTCTGAATGTATTACCAAAAATAAGCTTTCTCTGAAGCAGGGAGACCACTCACAGAGTACACGGTCGCAAGCAGGAGTGAGGACCTTAAAAAAATGTATGTGGTTTCCAAAGCTCCACTACACTTTCGATTTATTTCTACCCAAACCCAAGTTGATTTTGTATTCAGGCTTAGGAAGTGCAGGGAAAACATGGAGAGGGGTAATATTCTCCTATGCTTCCCCCTGTTCAGTTTGATTCTTGGCCAAGTTGACCTGACCTCTCAGATAAATTTTTTACAAGATGTTCTAGATGGGATTTACGGACTGGTGACTTTTCTTGTATTGTATGTCTCAAAAAAGATATTAAAAACTCAAAACAAATGGGTATTTTATAATAATTTCTGAAGGCAAGCTGTTCCTTTGGTTAATTGCTCTCTCTGTTATGAAATTTCTCCTTAGTTCTAAGTCGCTTCTCTCCTTGTTTAGTTTCCAACCATTGTATCTTGTCTTGCCTTCTGGTGCTTTGGGAAATAGGGTGACCCCGTCTTCTTTATGGCAGCCCCTCAAATATCGGAAGACTGCTATCATGTCACCCCTAGTTCTTCTTTTCACTAGACTAGACATACCCAATTCCTGCAACTATTCTTCACCTAATCATCCAATCCTTTACCCCAACAAATTATCTGCTTGTCTAAACTGTGTCTGCACCAGCTAGAGAGCACCTCGAATGAGCCTAAATTGCCTATTATTTCTATTCTCATAATTTACACACAGTTATAAGTTATCCTTCCTGTTGCTTTTTCCATAAGCCCCCTATATTAAGTTTGCCGTAATCTCCTTCCACAGGTCGTGGCCTCCAATCCTTTAATCATCTTTGTTGCCCTCCACTGGATTCTCTTTAATGAAAGACCTAGCGAAAATGCAAGGAGCGCTTGTTCCAAAAGTATGCTTGTTTCTGGGTGAGAGAGAGAAAGGCTGTTGAAAACATGTTGCAGGGATGAAGAAAGAATGACTGGGGGTGGAATGTGGATAAATGGAAATGTGGCGAATGCAGATGGAACAGTAAAGAAAAAGAAAAATAACTGAATGATTTTTCTAGGAAATTTGGACAGCTTCTATCGAGAGTTCTCAGTAGTGAGATGGTTGACACATACTTTAATTAAATAAACCATTTATGTTTGCCTGTCTTATAAGGAATGCATTTTATGGGTCATTTATGTATCTTTACATGTGTTTAAAAGCATTCTCCCCATGTGACCAACGCCTTTTTATGATAGTCATAGAAGGCAGGCATCTGTAGAGCCAAAAAAATAGCAGAATAACAGAATAGCAGAATTGGAAGGGAACTTGGAGGTCTTCTAGTCCAACCCCCTCTCAGGTAGGAGACCCTATACCCATGATGGTGAACCTATGGCACGCATGCTGCAGGTGGCATGCAGAGCCATTTGTGCCGGCATGCAAGCTGCAGGCAAACTTACCTCACTGAGCATGTGCATGCCTCACAGTTGATTTTCAGTGGGTTTGAGACCTTTTTCGGCCTCCCAAAGGTTTGAGGAAGGTTTCTGCAGGCTTCTGTAGGCTTTGCAGGCCAAAAACTAGCCCTGCTTCATCACTTCCTGTTTTTCCGAATATACCAGAAGTGATGAAACGGGGCTAGTTTTCTGCCTTCAAAGCCTGCAGAAACCTTCCTCAAGTCTCTGGGAGGCCGAAAAAGGCCTCAAACTGGCTGAAAATCAGCAGTGAGGCACAGTGCAGGTAAGAGTGCAGCGGGGGTGGGTAGGGATTGCACGTGCATGCGTAGGGAACATGGGGGGCACATTGCCTTCTGGGTGCTGGCACGTGAGCGTGCAAGCGCGCACACAATTTTTGGCACAGGAACCCAAAAAGGTTAGCCACCACTGCCCTATACCATTTCAGACAAATTGCTGTCGAACTTCCTCTTACAAAACTCCAGTGATGGAGCACCACAACTTCTGAAGACAAGCCATTGTATTCAGGCATAATTTATGCAGTGAATAATGTGCATATGTGGAAACCTTAACCTAAAATTTGAAGTTCCATTTCTAATGAGGTTACCTAGAGGTTCTACAGGTTCCATTTTAAACGGGGAATGCTTATAAATATTGTAGTGGCTGCAGTAAGTCCAATACTTTTTGCCAAGGTGGCATTATCATTAATAAGTCTTCCCTCAAGTATTGTGCATAAAAGAACTGGCCTGAGAATCAGTCCTTAGTTCTAATTTCTGAGCCACCAGATCTCCCAAACCTAGATGTTCTCGGAGCATCATGAAAAAAAAAAGGCTTGTGCTTATGGTTTACATAATTATGGAAATCTTTTACAACTATAGAGCAATTTAAGTATAGAGTGGAATGAAATGGCATTACATGGTTGAATTGTTAGTTCACAGATATGAGGGAAACAACAAGGAATAGATTCTGGATGAAAAATGGCTCCTGATATTCAAGATGGGCTTCAGCTGACATCAAATAGTTACAACAGAAGAGGAGGAGAAGGGTGGTGGGGGGAGAGAAGAAGAAACAGCAACTAGTAGTTCAATTGTCCTTTAAATTTCAAATGCTGTTCGACTACGTGCCTACTAGGAAGCACATCAAACTAAGGTCTTTTGCTTCTTAGCTTTGGTTTCTTAGATATAGTAGATTCTGTATTTTGAAGTCCAGCTTGATTGGCCGTGCTTCATTATTACTGTAGATAAAATCAAGTTTATTTGCACTGAATCACATTTGTGGAATTATGTCCCTTGTTGGGCTCAGCCAACTTCATTCAGGTGCATCTGCTAAAATAATTGGCAGAAGTATGTCATCGCCTCATTAAGAATGGTTATCTTTTTTCTTTCCTTGGGATCATTTCAGCACAGTGACACCCTGCTCTGCCCCCAGAATCACATAGCATCTAGGAACTGGGAGGATTAAGCAGTTATCAGACACATGCCATCTCATCTCAAAATTTGCCAAGATGTCCTTTCCAATTTGCTGCTCACGAATGAATGTGCACTTTTATTCAGCCCACCATGTTCCAGTGCTGCACAATTAAAATGTCCATGAACAAAAGGAGAACAGCAGCATGCCAAAGGGTTGATTCTCCGGAAACCTTTCTGCCTGATATAGTTCTCTCAACTTTTAAGGAGGCATTTATTCTGCTGTAACGGGCAAGATGCAGACATGCAGGAATCCCTGGTGAAAGTTTTTGATGCAATAATTGGGGGCGGGGGGGAGAGAAATCCCATATTTGATCTTCAGTTCATTAACATCTAAATTATATAAACTAGGAACTGTAGGGTTTTGTAGGAACTCTGTTCTGGGAATGATCCAGTAACCGGGAGCCAATATCTAACATTTAATTCTTTCAGAAGAATTTGAATGTTAATGTGTCTCTTTTTTCCCTAGACTGGACCATCTAGGCCAGAATTGGACAGTGGACATCTCTCTTATTTATCTGACTTTGCTGTTTGGACCCAATAGTTTAAATGCCAAGGTATCAGAATTTGGGCATTCCATTGGTTGATTGCTGTGGGATAGAACCATCCCTCATACAAACTGCATGGATACTGAGTGAGAGTCAGGACAGACTTGGTTTCTTTTCTCCAAACTCTGTTTGTGCCCCTCACTCCAACTAATCCCCTCACGTATGCCTTACCCTGTAATAATCAGTACTGTAGACGTCTCTGGACATTCCAAAGTCTCCAATCTTCACCAGCAGATTAACTCCAACCAAGCAGTTCCTCGTGGCCAGGTCTCTGTGTACAAAGTGCTGGGAGGCCAGATAGACCATTCCCGAGGCGATCTGGCTCGCAATGTGCAGCATTTGAGAAAGTCCCATTTCCCCTTTGACTTGCCGAGGCTGCCCATCCACGAGGATCATTGCATCTGGCCCATGTGCCCTGGAGAAGAGAAGACAGGGTCAAGCCCAACCAAGCAAATTACAACAGACACCATTTTTTATTTTATTTTATTTCTTAAAAATAAATATATCTGTTTGTATTTTTCTTAAAATAAATGTATATCCTTTTATTTTATTTCTCTTAAAATGCATATCTTTTATTTTATTTATCTTAAAATAAATTGATCTTAAAGGGTTTTTCCCCTTTTATAAAATAGAAATAGAAATAAAGACAATGGGAAAATGGGAAAGGAATAGAGTAATACAGTGAGGGAGGGAGAAAAAGAAATAAAAAAGAACCCAAAACCAGAGACTTGCGACTTTTGGGGTGCAATAAGATATATAATAAAGTTATAATAATGCACCTCTTTATGGTTTGCCAATTGCACAGTGGCAGATAGGACAGCACTCCAGAGGGTTAACTTCATTGCTCAGAAGATCATTGGTTGCCCCCTCCCCTCTTTGGAAGAGCTTTATAGCTCCTGCTGCCTTAAGAAAGTTCAAAACATTCTCAAAGATCCGTCTCATCCTGGGCACCCCCCCTTTTTAAAACTATTACCACCTGGCAGATGGTACAGAATAATAAAAACAAGGACAAATAGGCTGAAAAACAGCTTCTATTCCAGGGCAGTAGCTCTGTTGAATTCTACTGTATAGTGCAGTGTTGGTGCAGTGTCAGGGTTTTAAATTCAATGCTTGGAGTGTGAAGGATGTGTGTTTTGTTTATTTTCATGGTCATGATGTGCACTGAAGATGGTGTCTGATTTCGTTGCATGAGATGCAATGACAATAAAGTAAACGAATTAAACTAACTAACTAATAATATCAACTTTTTAGTTATGGTAAATAATTGACATGTGAGCCACCCAGAATCTTTTGCTGAAATGGGTGGCTATAGAAATAGCAATAGCACTGTCAATAGCACTTAGACTTATATACCACTTCACAGGGCTTTATAGTGCTCTCTAAGTGGTTTACAAAGACAGCCTATTGCCCCCAATGATCTGGGTCCTCGTTTTACCCACCTCAGAAGGATGTCAACCTTGAGCCTGGTGAGAGTTGAACTGCCAAACTTTTGGCAGCCAGCAGTCAGCAGAAGTAGCCTGCAGTACTGACTCTAACCACTGCACCACCATGGCTCAAATAATAAAAATACCGATAAACGAAAAATAAATAAATACTAGTCATTTCTATAACAATAACCCAATTGTCAAAACCCAAAGTCAATGTTTCAGTTTTGTCTCTTTCATGCAGAAAGTCCAGAAATGGTTTCTAAATCACCACAAAACCATTTACATTCTTGTCCCTAATTCACTCAGTCAGCTTTGCCATCTCTGTCAGATCCATCATCTTTTCAAACTATTCCTCCATTGTGGGAACATCATTTCTTTTTACAGCAGATGTGTTCAAGTCTGTTGGAAGCATCCAGTATGTGCCCTAATAAGATGTATCACCGTCTTCTCTTGGTAAAGACAGTTGAGGCTGCTTGTATTCAAAAAAAAAATTAGTTAAAATTAAATCTAGCCAGCAATAGCCCAGAGAGCTTGTTTGTTTTTCTTTTTAATTGTGAATTTTCTGTTCGTGAGGCTTTAAAGCAATCTCTCCCAATCTGCAGTAGAGAATTACTGGCAGCCTCTCTTAGTAGCCTTTGTCAATACAGGTGAGACATCTCTGGCCTCGGGGCTGCCAATCTGTAGCCTTGTGATGTGTCAAGATCAAAAATCTTACATCTAAAAGTGGCTTGTTTGGGAACCATGTGTGTGTGTGTATGAGACAGAGATGGGGGGAGTGGGGAGAAGAAGAAGGATATACAAACAGTGTCTCAAATGCCTCTTGAGAAATATCAGCTAATATTTAATTGGGGTCCAATCCAAAGTTGGCAATGTCGTCTCATATTTTAAGCAAACACGGTACTTGGGAAAAACATGCATGCAGTATAAATGCAAAGGTCTCTCAGGGAAAAAAAGATAACTTAAAAAAAAAACCTGAGAAATAAGATATGAATTCTAAACTAAGATGATTTGCAAGATCAGGTAGAAAGAGTGGGCATATCTCCCAAAGTGTGAGAATGATGGATAGCCTGATTGATGAAAATAAAGTCACAGCGAGTTTGTCTCGGTTGTCAAAATTGTGTTAAGAAACCAATTCAATTCACAACTGTATTGGTGAATACTGTCCTATTTTCATTATCCTTTCAAAATGCAGGCAGGTGTCACCAAAAGGACTTATAATGGCATCAAGGCTATGAGCTAATTGCACGTTGAGGCCATTTGTTCCTCATGAATTGGACTTGAACACATGAAGGAGGTCTTCCTATCCAGCCCTGGAATTACACCTTTGTCATTTGATCAATTACTCAGCTTATCATCCATAGCAGCATTCAACCAGCCAGAAATAGTGCCCCAGAGATCATTAATATGTGGTATAAGAACAGTGTGGCTGTGATTTTCTGCTAGCATGCAGGAATGTCTCTTTTGTGGCTCATTTCCTTTTTCTTTAAAACAGCTGCTGGCATTTTTACCTTTGTCAACAGCAGCAGCAGCAGCAGCCTAGCCAATAAAAATTGAAAATTTCAATCTTCTAGGTTCTTTCTCTTTGGAGACCTAAGCTTCCTTCTGGCTTGCATAGAGTCTTGATTTTCAACCTTCCCGGGGTTGATGAGATACAATATGAATGATATATGATTAGGTTTGTATGCCACTGAATACATCTAAGGTTCCCAACAGCTAACAATAATAAAATCATACCATAGTAATAAATTAAAATGCCAAAAGGTAAAAACAGAAGGGAGCAAAAGTGAAAAAGCGAACAGAAACACATGCTGGGGGATATCCTCTTAGCTTCCATTTCTCCTCTGGAGGAATTTTATGTTAGGCAACTTCTGGAAGGCAACCACAGAAATGGTAGTCTATCTTCCAGGGGGGTAAGAATCAAAGGGAGGAAAATATTGGATTTCTAGTGAAAATGTACTTTTACATAGCTTCTCCTTAAAACAGGTACAATCCCATGTCCTACAGAGGGCATAAATTAAAAATGATGCCACCTGAGACATTGGTTGTCTTCATAATTCAAAGATATGTTCTGAAAGTCATGGGAAAGACTCACTTTTGCAAGCAAACAAGGAATAATCATACGAGTGAGAGGGGTTTTTTCCCAGTTTTTTTTCTCAGTATTGCAGTTGACACTTTTCTATTAGAAAACTTAACATTTCCTTTTCTTACTGGGTTTTCAGTTTTATTTGAAAGAGATTTTTACACTTCTGTCTTTTCCTAGCCAAGACTCAGATGCTTTCTTTAGTCCCATAGGTGCTTTTTCCAAAAGGCAACTGGACTATCTTGAGATTTCTTTTTTCTTTGAAAACTTTATCCAAGAAGCTTCTTCAGTTCTAATTGACTGCTGGGGAGTCAATTCTCAGCAATCATTCCCCATCAGTTAGTACGAACAGAAGAAGCTTCTTGGATGAGAAGTGAAATGTTTTCAAAGAAAAAAAAGGTGATTGATAGCCTCCATAGACATCTCTATCGCTAAAGAATGTAGATGGCTTTTTCAAAATGGCAGCTCTGGAGGCTTGCCTGCTAAACAAGACAGTGGCAGGAGTCACATTTAACATCATGCTTGTTTGGTTTAGTTGTAAACCAATATTTATGGCTTAACATGGCCACTGAGGCTTATTCAGCAAATCATGGTTACACAACTTCTCATTTAATATGAAATGAAGGTATGGAAGTGAAAGAGCTGCGTGGTGGCTTAATGGTGAAGATGCTTGCCTCCCACTTGGAAGGTTGGGAGTTCAATCCTAGGTAGCTGAAGATGTTTCTCTCCTGGGGTGCAAAGGAAAAATTATCTGCTGTGAACTCCATGCAGGCATCAGGAAGGGCATCTGGCCAGTAAATGCTCAGCTCCATCCAGTTGCCCCATCTCTACCCCAAATTAAGAGATTACAAGGTCATAAAAAGGGAGTTGGTATGTTAAATGATCTGTCTAATCTATATCCATTTCCTTCAATGAATCATTCACTTGATTCATTGAAAGAAACAAAAATAGAATAGAAATAGACTAGAGAGGATGATCAATCCTTACCTGTGCCTGAATGTTTGCAAAATAGCATAGAAAAAGCACTATCCTTCATATTTCCTAGAAACTAACCATTTACCCAGAATCTTATGGGAACACTGAAAAACCATTTATTTGAACAAGCTTTTTACGACAGTGCTTAGGCTAGATGGATGATGCTACTTTGGCTCTTTTAAGATGTAACTACCTTATCAAATGGATAATCCACCCCACACTGTGCTATAAATGCACTAAAGAGTCATCAACATTTTTGCCGGGAAAGAAAACCCAGTTAGCCTCCCCTTCAGACAAAATAGTGAATATTGATGTCCCAAGCTGGGATTTCATATATAATGGTGGAAGGGATTGGAGGGGCTTTAAACATTTGCCCCCATTGTGATCTCACTCAGTGTCTTTTTCAATTCTCACATGAAGTGGGGAAGAAATCCTGCTCCTAGAACAAATGGCCTGGCTGACCTTGCTTGCATGGGGGAATATGTCAATATTCCTTTGTTAAATCTACTGGAACAAAGCTGTTGGCTTTTTGCTAGTTTGTCAGATTGACTTGGAAAATGCATTTAATCTCTCCGAGTTGCCCACATTTAGACAACAGGACTATAGGGGAAATGGAAACAGAAAAGATACATCAAGAGTGACAACTCTCTTCCAGTCATCCTGCAAGAGTAGTCTGCAGTTTTCAGATTTTGCAGAGTTCCTCTATTCCTTTGAAGAGGGCAAGGCTGTGTCTTTGGAAGCATCCCTATATTTCTTGTCCTCTTTTGCCAGCTAAAATAAATGAAATCAAGAGGAGAGAAGTTTGCTTCCCCCTCACTCCACTCCAGTCATGTGTCAGCTTTGACAACAGAATAATTGCCTTGGCAAAACCACAAACCTAGAAGTGGAGCTGCTATCTAAATTATTGACACAATTACTTTACAATCCTGTTTAACCAACGTAGCAGGAGAAGAAACAGATGTGCATGTATCGCAAAAGTCCAATTACCTAAATACTAGGAAATAACAAATAAAAATGAGAGTACCGTTGCATGAATTCTGGAACATTAACCCTTAATTTCAACATTATGGAAGAACAGCCTCTCTGTCCATTTTTTGTGTTTGGCTATTGGCTGTTCCACATTGATGAAAAATTCAAGAAGGAACAAAATTTTGGTATGATAGAGTGGCTAGAATTATTATTATTATTATTATTATTATTATTATTATTATTATTATTATTA